GTAAACATTCGAATGTAAATTTTTATTCCGTTATTTAAAATATTTTTAGTGTAAGAATTTGATCCGTTTGTAACAGAGTGGTCTTGGAAAGAATGTTGTCTGTATTGGTAAAAAAAAAAAAGCAATGGAATCAGGCATAGCGCGCCTTGTTTACGTTTTTTTTTTTATTCGGTTCGAGAAAGATTTTGTCCTCTGTTCATAATTCCTCTTAAACGTCCTCTGTACATAAACTTCAGAAGTAATAGAAATCAGGGACGGATAAAATTCGAACAAAATAATAAAATAGCAACTAAACACAATGAAACGATTTATGTGTGACGGTTATTCGATTGAATAATTATACAAACAACTTTTTATTCGTTCAACACGAAATATATTTTCATTCTGTAATTTACATTCGAATTGGAATATAATTTTTATTTCCCAGATCACATTCACGACAAATATAATTCCATTTTTATTATTCAAATTGTAAGAAACAGAAACACGAATCGACACGAAATGTGATTTTATTTTTTCATTCAAACTCTGAGCAATTCACATTCATATTGGAATATAATTTTATTTCCTAAATCACATTCTCAACAAATATAATTCCATTTTTATTATTCAAATTGTAAAAAACAGAAACACGAATCGACACGAAATGTGATTTTATTTTTTCATTCAAACTCTGAGCAATTATAAATCCATTCTATTATTCAAATCGTAATGAAAATACGAAAGAAAAGTAACTTATCAATTATTCGTTATTCGACGTTCTTATCTAGCGGGGAATATTATCTATCTCTGATGTAATACGTCCATTGCACCTAAAGGGTTAAGCGACCAACTAATATTAATAAAAGCATTATACTTTCATGTAACATTTCGACTTGATAATTTACATATAAAGGAATAAATATTACACGTTAGTAGCGTACACATGTATGGTTTCATCTATCAAGGATTTTCATTTCCATTGTAAATTGAAGTGCAAATGCGACACTGGTTATCATCATACAAGACACAATTCTGTAAAAGTAGCCTTATTTACTGTTTAAGAATTTCTTAACAGAAGAAACAGAGTATTTCACGACTTTATAAAAGTGAATTATAATAAAACCTTGTAATAAATATTATGGAACTTTTCGGTAAATGTGTAAATCTGTTATTATTTTATCACAGATGGAATGCATGTTGAAAAACAACATTTGTTGATAAACAAATCAATACACTTTTGTTAGTAATGTACTTGTGATTTTTATGTTCCATTGTTCCTTTCTATCAGTTATTATTGAGATTCTATATAATTTTGGCGAAATTAATTTCGGTGAAATTTTCCAAAATTTCCAAGACGTGTTTAAAACGATAACTGTAATACCGAAATAAATTAAATATTGAATCTTTAACGAGTTAGAATTTTTGGCGAATTCATTCTTTCGAAGAACCATAAGTATTTTCCTCACGGTTCACTAATAAGAAAGCATCTCGTCTTTCTTACTCAATGGCTCCGGATGCGGCCTTAAAACATTCCCTTGTATCAAGGTTCACAGGGTCGCACGACACCCACGTCTTCGTCAATCAATGCTGTCTTTCTGAGATGAGGTGCAATTTTTAAACGAAGCCTAGCTTTTATGGCGACAGTAGCCATCGCAAATAGACGTACTGTTCGCTCCCCAGAAGCAGTAAAATTGCTTTTATACACTATTTCAACCGACTGACGCTACATATTTCCACCGAAACTCGAATTCTACGCCTAATAGAAGCATCGAGCAGTTATAAATAAGACACAAAACAATGGGCATCAGTTTAAATCGGGCGTCCGTTACGAGATATCTTTGCTTCCGCTTACAAAGACGTCCTTCGCGGTTTCTCTAGGCGCGGTGGAGTAACGAGCAGAGGCGCCACGTGCCTCCATTATGTAAAACCGACGCGACTTACACGAATAATACAGCATTAACACGAATTCAGCGAACAGACATTCGTCTATATATCTACTGTTCTTAATGTTGCATGCAAACTGCGGATTCGATCAATTTATCGCGTGAAATACAATAACATAATAAGTACACGTCAAGTGTAACCGAAAGGTAAAAGGCACTTGTGTAAAGTAATACATGTAACAATATCGTAATAATAATTGAAGAATATATTTGGCATACGTTTTTTCATATTAGGCACTGTACGCCATAAATGCGTAAAATCTGCAGTCCAGTTATACGAAAACTTTATTTGAGAAATCTGCCGTTTAATTTATTGTTAGACAAACTTCGTCTTCGATGGATAAAGAGGATACGAATACTATGAAATTGGCTGTGTATGAATTAATGTAATATCATATACAGAGCAGTAAATATAGTTATTCAGATAGCACTTATTATTTTATATTAATGGATTGTTACAATTGTGAGATTCGTATCTACATTTTTATAAATTCGTCGTCGATTAAAAATGTGGAAAAAACGAGGAAAACTTACCCGTGGCGAGACAGACTTTCGGTGGCGAGTTGCACGGATGTGGTAACGGACATGTTGTTTTGACGATTTACGACTGTAACAGAAGAAAGGACAAAAGTCAAGGACGAATGCCGAAGAAATCCCAGAGTGAATCGCAGGCGTAAAACAAGAACCCCGGGCGCCGGGAATTCCAGCGATTACGGAAAAATTTCAAACGTCGATGGACGGACGCGCGTAATATGGCACACGAAATGCGCGAACTACAAAGGACATCCGCGTAATAAGTTTCACCGTGGATATCACCTTGGCACGAAACGACAACTTTTACTTTCCCCTCCCGCGAAAGAAAGCCGCGACGCACGCTCCGAATCACTTAATTTGACAAATCGAAGTCGCCACGTCGCGGTCGTGACCAGATTGCGCAACCCTTTAGAGGACACTTGCCCCTTGTAGAGATGCGCTTCGATAGACTAACTTGGAAAAGGCTTTTGTAGCCAATTTTCAAAAGAATTCTTTTCCAGCCAAACAATCTATAAAAATTCACCGGTGCGTTGCTTTTGTTTTTACGGCGGATCGAAAGTCTTCCTAGATATAAAAAGCGATTTGAAAACTTTAGTCTTAACAGATCTTTTTATGGATTTTTCCATTTTTGTGGATCAGCATTTGAGGAAATGCTTGAGTAATTTTTATCGAAATTAGTTTATATTCACTGAGGACAATTTATGCTTCAAGATCGTCACTTTCTTTTGTATAATAGTTTGTTTAATTTGATTAAAATAACTTAATTTAGTTTAATTTAATTAAAATAACTTAATTTATAAAAATAAACGACCGAATAGAAATTAAATGTTTCAAGTTGTATATTAACCAATCGCAGCCCGATCGTTTCTCTTAATACGCATGACTAGCAACTTCAAAGGAATTTTGTACATGTTTGTTCTGAAAATTTAAGTACTACTTTGTTGTCACCAAAATTTATAAATTGCCTATAATTAAAATTTCGTTAATTCAGTTCACGTTATCCTGAATGAAACTTGAACTCACAATCACTTGTGGTGTAGTGGCACCAAGGGACTGCAAATGGTTATGTTATGTTATATTACCTTAAACAGTTACAATTCATAAATTATTATTTTAGAAAATTCAAACGATTTGATTTTGAAAAAAAAAAAAAAATAAATGAGAAAGTTATCCATTTCTCTGAATAACTAACCAGTCATAAACTGAACCGAAAGAGACGACAGTTATTTCATTTATTCAAAAAAAGATCAAATTTTTTAGTTAAGACATATTTTATCTGCAACTTTGAAATGATTCAAAAGAGCTAATATTTTTCAGTGCTTTATCTGCGTGTCAACTTTCACCAAAATCGGAGATTGTGAATTAGGCGATGTTGCTCGTGCGCTGAGATATGTAGGTTGAAATTTGATCTCTGTTATCTCTCACGCTTGCTTGCCTTTGCATACATTCAGAATGAGTGCGAGAACCAAGCGAGACCAAGCGAGACGGAGTGGAATACAGTTAAACGTGTTCCAGGAACTGGTGGGGATAATTTTGTGACTGCTTCTTGGTAAAAATCGTGTCAGCTTTGAAGGAAATACCGTAGTATCTTCGCGTCCATGTACAGGAATTGGTAAAATTTTATTCCAATAATATCGTACATGACAAATAAAAACACAGGAAGTGATCGAATAGCGAGATTCGTTCGATTAAACAATTATGCAGGTTTTACACGTTAACATAAAAAAATATAAATTCATTTTATAATTTATGTATTAACCGATTGCGATCCGTATTGCACTTACTGTATGAAAAATATTATAAATAATAGGTTGTCCCAAAAGTTTCTTTCGCTTTGTTAATAAGAAATACATGGACAATAGTTTATGTTTTATGTTACATTACTGAATTGTGCACGATTCATTTTGCTCCATTACTGTTACAACATGAATATCTATGAAATTAGATTGTTTATTTATATAAACCCGACCACATCAAATAATTGAGCGCAACTCGCGAAAGAAACTTTCGGGACAACCTAATACTTTTAGCAATATTGATAGTCATGAGAACATTTATGCGACATAAAAGTATTAAATATTATTTTTAAATATCGGTAAGGTGCTAATGTAAAAATTAAAGCTAACAATGTGTATCACTTTTAGTTTCTAATAGATATTTTAACAGCACCAGTAATATCAAATTCTAATTCTAATTTAAAGAATGATGAAAAACAAACATGTGTATCGTGAGAAATTGAATTTATAAACTCAGCGAAAGGACTGATCTCATCTTCGTTTCCTTGGTATACAACCTTTTCACAACAGTCTACGACTGATTAATGCTTCTTGTTCGACCGTTATCAATCGTTTACGTGGTAATTAATGCGAGATAAGAAAACTTCATATTTCTTTGTTGAAAGAGGTGCTCGATGCAACGTGTGGTAGTTTCTCACCTTGATTTTCTTTTCTAAGAATACACCAAGGACTTTCGTATGGCTGCGTGATAATGAAATCTACCACGAATTGCCAATGTGTCGATGATGAAATCCGTGACATTCTCTCACGGCCTTGAGTCGGGACCAGCATACTTTATAAATATTACCGTTACAATTCGCAATGATTCTCTGTCCTCTATTTCTCCATACAAAATTGTTGCAAATGCAAGTCAAAGAAAATTCTACACCCCATTAAGGAATACTAAACAGTCAGTTCCATGAATATACACCCTCTGTATCTATTCAAGAAATCTAATTGTAAATTAAATCACAGAATACATGAATTATTTTTCTACATTTGAACTGACCGTACGTTTCACTTTACATAAACGTTGTAAAAGTTGAAATTTACTTTTAACAGATGAAATTATTAATTAAATATTCGCAACATGATTAGTAGATTGAAAAGTTGCTACATTCTTACCGAATATCGATTAAAAATTAATTATTATAAAATTTTTAATACATATATGACACAAAGAGCTACGTTTGAATATATAATTTTAAAGATTAAAGGACAAAATCAATTCCACTCTCTATACTGAAAATGAACACACGTTTTCAATTCTACGATATAAATCATTCACCTCGACTCGCTAACAGTATCGCAAAGAAACTGAACGGAGAACAAAGCGGATATTTATTCACAGGATTATCTCTTCAGCGACGCAATACCATGAAACGTAATTGTAAAAGCAGAATGACAGGTACGTTTACGTAACAGAATGCAATTTCATTGGTAAAAGAAAGAAAAAAAAAATTAGGCGCAGCCTGAATTTACACGACTAAATGCAATCGAGCGCAACCTCGTCGACTCGAAAATAAATGCAGTTCCCATTAGCCGTCGGCGACCTAATTTTCTTCGGTTACCGTTTGTGCGCGTGTACTCGTCGATCAATGAACCCAAGAATCATTACCTAACGCCGCCATTTGCATTTACCAACATTGATAATGATGGCTCCGGACGTTTTGCGTTGCAATACGGTCGAATTAAGTAAACATCGCATTTCTATCCATTATGTATTTAGTTCCCCCATTTTCTCCGTTAATCTACTTATTCTTTATTACCACAGCTTACTTTTTAATTATACTCTTGAAGAAAAAAAAGGAGGTTGTTTTTTTATATATTTTTATTTCCTCAATAGATGTACAGGGTATCCTAAAAGTCGGGGAGGAGCCGGAAATGGGGGTAGCTGAGACGATTCCGAACAACAATTTCCTTTGCAAAAATGTTGTCCGAGGCTTCGTTGAGGAGATATTAACGGAAAACCTCGACCAATCAGAGCACGCGTAGACCGTTCGAGCGGCCGCGGTAGCGAAGGCTTCGCGCTAGACGGCAGCGTCAATGTCCTTCGATGCACGTCGGAGTCACTTGTTCGCGTACAAGTGCGGCCACCAGCGCGTAACCTTCGCTACCGCGGCCGCTCCAACGGTCTACGCGCGCTCTGATTGGTCGGGGTTTTCTCTTAATATCTCCTTAACGAAGCCCCATCCGACATTTTTGCAAAGGAAATTTTTGTTCAGAATCGTCTCAGCTACCCCCCATTTCCGGCTCCTTCCCAACTTTTGGGACACCCTGTAGAGTGTTCGAATACATATGGGACTGTCTGTAATTAATTTTCGCGACGTTTTCATTTGATCATATTTGCTACCAATTCATGTTTATTCGTAACAACTAACGAAAAATTGATCTCTTGCGGGAATCGATAAAAAAAAAAACAAGTCAAGATATTCAATTTCTTTTTACAAGAGAGAAATTTTGAACCGCGACATTTCCGAACAACCTGGTGCACGTGTCTACAATTCTCGACGAAATAGAAGGATGGCACGAGACGCCAACAAGGGGAACACGAATAAGGGATATTTTCTCACGCGTCTCTCTGCGTCGCTTCTGAAAGCATTAGTAATGCAATCGTAAAAATAGATCGGTCTAAAGATACACAGATTATTTTTAAAGCCGCGACGCGCATAAAAGGAACGAATATTGTTCTATAGTCGCGGTCGCTTACTAAATTATACATAGCCGCGTACTGAATCGATTAAACCGTGGCTTGTTATAGACCATTGTCCTTAACAGTTACGACTGCGTGACACAATGGTTAAATCTCTATTTTTGTTATCGAAGCTCGTCGTGGTCGATGGGATACGACCTCGAGTCCAACTCCAAAATGGGGAAACGTATATTGAGCGTGTTAAAATTATTTTAGCTCCGGCATAGTCAATGGATTTCCGATACGTAACGCTTCGTTCAAGGTGTCCCCGTGCAAAATGTTCAATCGTGGGTAAAGTTTTCAATGGAACAAGGCTATGACAGGATGACGGGGTTTCGATGTAATGACGTCAGACGCGATGATGGCGTAGTGGATAGATTATCTATAACATCGAGGACAATCACGACGACGATAGACGTACAGGGTGAACGAAACGATTTGTTACTTGAGAGAAAATTAAATTTCATTTTGAATTTTCCCGAAGAATATAGCGTGACGGAAAATTTGTTGCTTTTTATGAACCTTTAAAATTAAATTATACGATATTATTTAAAATGCATTTTTTAAAATGATATTATTTGAAATAAAATTTAAAATAACTATTGTTTCAAATGAATTATGATACCTGGACCATGATTGACCTGGAGATTTTTGAAATTATACGATATTATTTAAAATTCATTTTCTAAAATGATATTATTCGAATATAATTTGAAATAACTATCGTTTCAAATGAATTATGATACCTGGACCATGATTGACCTGAAGACTTTTGAAATTATACGATATTATTTAAAATTCATTTTCTAAAATGATATTATTCGAATATAATTTGAAATAACTATCGTTTCAAATGAATTATGATACCTGGACCATGATTGACCTGGAGACTTTTGAAATTATACGATATTATTTAAAATGCATTTTCTAAAATGATATTATTCGAATATAATTTGAAATAACTATTGTTTCAAATGAATTATGATACCTGGACCATGATTGACCTGGAGATTTTTGAAATTATACGATATTATTTAAAATTCATTTTCTAAAATGATATTATTTGAATACAATTTGAAATAACTATTGTTTCAAACGAATTGATATTACTCTTATTTTCGAATAATTCTACTTAAACTAAGGGTCCGAAAATCACTTACTTCGAATAATTATTCTTTGATTTTCATTTCAATTAAAATTTGCCTGGCTCAAGCTTCTAACCACGCAACCACAAGCGACCCATTCACCTTTCGTGGATCCCTCGCGCGATAGACTTCCAAGATTAGATCGAGATGCGTTCGCCTCTTTCGGTTCTGTCAGTTTACGAGGGAAACGGGGTTCGCGAACTGCTGGCAAGACTCCCGAGAGACGGTTAGGCGAGTCTTCCACGTGATCCCGTATTTTTATTCTGTCGCAGCACGAGAATAGAAGATCGTTAAGAAAGGGGTATGCGAATGGCGAATAGTATGCGCGCATGTACCAAAGTAGTCTGAGGTCGGCGCGGCGTCTGTGTTCGGGAGGCCAGGGCGCATCCTTCTCAGGTGCGATACTAGAAGGTGATTCTATTTAACCTTTAATACCGACGTATCCGGCCGACGACGACGTATCGGGCATGTTTCACCTTTCTGCCCTCTATGTTCGTGAATAATCGATATTTTCAATCTTTAACCCTTGGGGAAATTGACCCAAACCCCACGGATCGTCGGACCTCAAACTTCGAAACAAAGAAATTGGGACTTGACTTGTTTATGTTCAAACAGATTTAACGATAACGTGGAATGAACCTGTCACTTCCAGGCCATGAACTATACTGTTTAATTTATCCTCGAAAACTCCCAATGTGTACAAATCCGATACCCGGTTGTTTTCTATGAAAGAGAATTTGTTCTTCAAAGATGTACAATGTACATACATGAATATTTTAATAATTTGTGTTCTGATCAAGTATCTGGATACGAGTCGAGTAGTTCCATCTCTGGTGCTAGTGTGTGAATACTTTTTTTTGTTATTCGAATGGCAAACCTGTTATTAGATTTCTTTGATTGTAAGCAGCTTCTAATAATAATAACAACAATTACGATCGACTACTACCATGCTCGAATTTCATTCGAATTCTGAATTATTTGATCTTTAACGGTGAACTAAATTGTTTAAATTCTGATCTAATATCATTTCAATAATCCTTATCTTAATTGTTTTATTATAGAATATTAATAGAATTAATATTGTTTTCGAGGTGTCCATTAAAACATTTGGCATTTATGCGTAACCTTTGTATCACGAGACAGAGAGTACTTGCTATATATATATATATATATAGGCGATCTGAATTTGTAGCTATCTCCAACTCGTGGAAAGTGGAGCATGAACGCGAAACAAATAATCTGGGGGTCACTGTACAAATGACTACTCTCGGGATATATTAAAACGAGAAGAACGCGGTGAAACATTTCATGCAAATTATATTTCACAGTCGAGAGAAATCAGAAATTTCATAGTGCATTCGATTTGAAAGAAGTATTCGTAACTGTTCGTACAATAAACGGTAAAAATAATAAATTATTTTTCAACAACACAAGCGAAACAAACTAGACAATGGAACCAACTGTTCCAGCTGTCGATGGAGTACACTCGAATCGATGGATTTTATTCAAAGCTTTTTATTACTCGGCTCGAGTTGCAATAACGTAAAAGCAAGTGGTTTGCAGTAAAAGAATTCTTTCAATAAAAAATAAACCATGAAATATTTGATACTAGTACGACAAAATTTTATTGGCAGCAGTAGATGTAATAATTTCTGTTACAGTGAACATTATAATTTGAAAAGATCATTCTTCGTGAGAAAATAACTCGAGAATACGCGATACAATTTTCTTGTATTATCCTTAGCTTTCGATATACAGGGTGTCCCAAAAGTCGGGGAGGAGCCGGAAATGGGGGGTAGCTGAGACGATTCCGAACAACAATTTCCTTTGCAAAAATGTTGTCCGAGGCTTCGTTGAGGAGATATTAAGCGAAAACCCCGACCAATCAGGGCGCGCGTAGACCGTTGGAGCGGCCGCGGTAGCGAAGGCTACGCGCTAGGTCGATGCTTCGATGCACGTCGAGTCACTTGTTCGCGTGCGCAAGTGCGGCCACCAACGCGTAGCCTACGCTACCGCGGCCGCTCCAACGGTCTACGCGCGCTCTGATTGGTCGGGGTTTTCGCTTAATATCTCCTCAACGAAACCTCGGACAACATTTTTGCAAAGGAAATTGTTGTTCAGAATCGTCTCAGCTACCCCCCATTTCCGGCTCCTCCCCGAGTTTTGGGACACCCTGTATAATAATCGAGCTTGAAGATACGAAGATCATGCGCCCCGCCTATACTCGACCGTCATTTTCTCGAAAACGAAGCCACGTACGAAAACATTGCAACCGCACATTTTCCATTTATTTTTTCGCACGGAATCATAATCTCGTTCCTTATTTCGCAATCTTGTATAGAAGAAAAATGTGTAGAAGACGGAAGAGGAAATGGATGTATAGTATAGCTGGCAGGGAGGGTTAGCAGCTACGCTTCTACTCGTCTCGAGTACGCAAGGGCTAACCCAAGGGCTAACCTAAGCGCGCGACCCGCGAGCAGCTCTTCACCCTGGTCGTCTGGTTGCGGCCAGGCGTACACATATGTATAATATATTACAGACTCCCCGTGGGCTTGAAACGAGGCCAACAACCCTCGAGGTCGCGACAGTCGCTCTGGAGACGCGGGGGTGAATTCGAGATATCGATCGACCTCGCCAACAACTCTGACAAACTCCCACGCGGATGCGTGGCCTGTGGCCACAACGAAAGCGGAATCAGGTCGCTTCGAATTGCGGGACCCGAGCGAAAATACGGAAAATCCAATTATAAGATACGCAAAGGATACGCTCGACCGGCCGAGTTCTCTATTTTCGGGCAAATAACTTCGGTTGCGCCATAATTCGTAATATGGCGCGAACACAATGGCGCGCCGTTCTTATTTTAAGACTTTACCGACCGGTGGCCTTATTATTATTCTTTTTTTCTATTACAAGCAATAGTTTGTTATCTGTTACCGATACAGCATTATATGCTGATATGCTCTCATCGTTATATGAATTGTGAAATGTTAGCAACACTAAACCTACCACGCCCAGTCAAATGACCGTTTTCAAACTTTTGCGTACGCTTCTTTTATTATATACAGTAATAAGGCTTATTGTCGGTCTGTTTATATAAAAAGTGACGTACACGAACGAATTTAGTCACCGATGCCTTTATGGTAACGGTTCTGTACATTTTCGTTAGTGGTTCATCATTCCCTCGAGAAAGAGCTTGAGGAACGAATGCCGATTCCAATGGGTATTTTAATAAAAAATATTATAAAAGGAATTACAATCTGAGTTGTATTTCAGATTACAACGTGAAAAATTTATTTGGAAGCACCAAACCTATCATTTACGAGTTGATAGTATAATGATAAAACAAAAAATAAGATATCTACTTTCACTGAAGATTGCAGGAGTTAGGAACTCGAATATTATGTACATAATGTATAACCAACGAATTTGATTTGCAAATCTTTTATCCGAGTAATTATTCGAATAAGTAATTGTCATCATGCAACAATTACAGAGTCGATAGATAACAGATTTGCTTTTCAAATTATCGTAATCACTGAATTATCTTTTACTCTTCGAGTGAACAACATTACGTAAACAAGAGTTA